CACACACACACACAGAATAAAAGGGTTATCGTACTCCACGAGCACATGCAGGTAGAAATGAAAAGCAATTAGGATTAACGCACCCTCCACAACACAAGGATGCCACACACACACACACACACACAGAGAGAAACAAAAGAAACAACCACACAAAGGGGCAGCGGTTGAGCCCCCAGCAATCATTAGGAAGAGAAGGGATAAATACATCCATGAACTTGCAGCACACACAGAGAGAGAGCGAGGAAGCATGTTACTTGTCCACGATGCTCATGACACAGCCATCACTGCAAACAACGTCAGCAGAAGCAGCGGTGCATGCACCCACACAGGACTGACGCTGCTGTCCTCATTCTTCGTGTCTTTGTCCGCGTTTTTGGGGACGGGGCTGTCTCTGGGTTTTGTGGATGTAGTTTCTGTGTCACGCGTCGAACTACTCTCCGAAAATGACTGTAATTGTTTGGAATGATCTTGTTCATCTGTACCCTGTAGGGCAATGTGCTTAGCCGGCTGCTGTGTGGAAGGATTCTCACCGGAGCTCTCAGCTGCAGGATTTTGCGCTGCTGTTGGCAAAACATCAGAGCTAGTTTCCTTCCCTTTGGTACTTGTGGGGCTATCAGTGACTTGATTGTCCATCTTATCTCGGCTGCTGTTAGCATCCGTGTTTTCTTTGGCGTTCTTGCCCTTTTCTGCAGGCAAATCGGCCTTCGCCCTGCTGATATCACCGACAATACCATCAGCTCTCTTCTGGAGCTCCAGCGAGTTATCGGTGTCACCCACGTTTTTCCTACCGTTCTTCAAATTTCCTCCACCCGTCTCCCCTTGGCCGGGATGAGGTTGAGGTTGCAGCGGTGTATTGTTATGCTGGGTTTCACCCGATGGGGTCGTGCACTTTGGAACGGTACTAGAATCGCAGCGACCATCAGTACCGGTTTTCCCACTGTCATCGACAACTCTCCCAGAAGAATGTTGTGGCGTATCTTCACGAGGAAGAGCCCCGTCACTTAGGTCCACGGTTTTCCCTGCGATTTCCGGTGGAGATTCACCTCCCGCGACCGCGCAAGACCCATTCACTTTGGGTTTCTTGTCTGGACAAGTATCATCATCACCCCCAGTTGTATGGCTGGGATCGTCAACACTGTTGGAACCGACTATTCCTTCAGGCTTCACCTGTTGGGCAGTCGAGCAAGTTTGCTTTGTAGTGTCTCGGCAAGGTTCACCTGTACCAATCGCCGGGGTGTCTTTGCAATCGTCAGAACCTTCTTCCTTGCAAAGCCTGAGATCGTTCTGAGCCTTACACTCATCGGACATATTCGTCTCTGTGCAACTCGCAGATTTAACCACCGGAGTCTGTGTTTTAGCAGCACTGCACACACCACCGGATGCAGTCGTTGCACCAGGACAAGACTCACCACCAGTCTCAAGTGATTCAACACCTTGAGTCATTACTGCGTAGCCACCAACACCTGGAAACTCTGCACGCCTCTGCTCCTCCAGGGCAGCACACCCGCAGGCGCACCACGCACACAGCGCACACATCAGCAGCACAGAGCGCATCGTCATCATCGTATTCTTGATCTGCGCAATGAGTGGGGGCAG